TATCTCTACGGGGGGAGACTTGGTGAGGAGACAAGCATGGCCGGGATGCGGTCTGTAGCGGTGGGGCGGCCTGGGCTCCGGAGGCGACGGCCTCTCTCCTTCTGACCCCTGGGTGGTCTCCGCAGTTCCTGCCGCGTGGGAGGCGTGGCCCCGGGGGCCTGGTGGCCCCTCGTGCCTGGTGGAGAGTGAGGGCAGCCTGACAGAGAACATCTGGGCCTTTGCTGGCATCTCCAGGTAGGAGGGGCCTGGCCTGGCTGGTGCGCAGCCCCTCGGGGGGCAGAGGAATGGACTCTGGCCTCCCCCAGGGTCCTGACGTGTGCACCTTCCTGTGCAAGGGCAGAGCCATCCTGACCTTGGTGGCCCCGGGCCAGGGGTTTCCCCCACTGGGCCTGTTTTCTCAAATGTGAAATGGGAATAATCACAGGCCTGTGGAGAGGATCAAATGGGGTCATTCAGGCAAAGCTCTCAGCACCTCGCCTGTCACAGGGCAGCCGCTTGCTAACCGCCAGCTCTTCAAAACTCTCCGGGTTGGGTCTTGAAGCAGTCAGCCGTCAAGGACCCCTTAGACGCCCCTTAGGAAGGAAGTCTAAAAGCTTCCCTTGGAGGAGGGCCTACTCTGGGTCAGGCACCGTTTCTGGTTATGCCATCGCCCAGGGGAGCGACGTGAGGCCGGGATACCGCCCTCAGCCTCTCCCCGCTGCCCTCCCAGGCCCAGCGCCCTCGCCCTGCTGCGGAGAGACGTGCTTGGGGCCTTCCTGCTGTGGCCCGAGCCCGGCGCCAGTGGCCAGTGGTGCCTGTCGGTGCGGACACAGTGCGGTGTGGTGCCCCACCAGGTCTTCCGGAACCACGTGGGCCGCTACTGCGTGGAGGTGAGCGTGCGGGCAGCCGGCCCCGCCCCTGGCCCGCAAGCCCCGCCCTTTCTGACCGGCGGCCCGGAGCCCCCTCGCCTCATCACGGTACCCCACTGGCTCTCTCTGGCCACACCCCTTATTTAACTAACTCTCCATCTAGTTCGTCACTGGACCTGCTGGCCCCGCCCTCGGGCCTCCAGAGGGGGCTTTTTTTTTTAAGATTTTAATTATTTGATAGCGAGCGAGCACAAGTGGGGGGAGCAGCAGAGGGAGAGGGAGAAGCAGACTCCCCACTGAACAGGGAGCCGAAGGGGACTCGATCCCAGGACCCTGAGATCATGACCCGAGCCGAAGGCAGCCGCTTAGCCATGGGAGCCACCCAGGTGCCCCCAGAGTCTTGGGCCCAGGTCGTGCCTTCCATTTCTATAGGAATCCTAGCTTTTAAAAGTGGCATTCCCACACCCTAGCCCATCTTCTAGCAGAGCTGGAAACTGACTGAGAGACGGCAGGTGCAGGCCTAAGCTCACCCAGCCTCCGGGCTTCCAGGTCTGGAGTCTTAGCCTGACCACAGGTTTCCAGGGACTGGATGTGCGCCCTTATTACAGGCTGAATGGCTCAGTCCCGTCCAGGCTGGCAAGAGAGAAAGAGAGGAGACAGTGTCTGGCTCTGCCGTGAGCAGGACAGTGACCTCTCTGAGCTCGAATTTTCTCCCTTCTGAAGTGGGGCAAGATCCCTTGTGAGGGGGTGGTGGGTGCCCAGAGCGGAGCCATGGGGGAGGGGAAGCTGGAGCTTCAGCCCTTTCTGCCCTAGCACCTGCCTGCCGAGTTTGCCAGCCTGGAGGCCCTGGTGGAGCACCACGCTGGGACCGAGCGCAGCCTCTTCTGCTCCCTGGACATGGGCCGTCTGAACCCCAGCTATGAAGATCAGGACTGCGGGTCCGAGGGCAGACCCCCCCGGACACTGCGGCCCCTTGGCCATGCCAAGTCAGAGGCAGAGCTGCAGGGCCTGGGCTAGGAGGCTAACCCCCTGGACCTGCCTCACCCTGGGTCCTGGGCCTCAACAGGCCGCCCTGCCCTTCTGCCACCCTGCTAGTCACCAGTTCCATCCAGTCACTCTGCCCCTTGGACCAGTCTTCCATCACTTCACTGACTGTGGTAGGGGGGAGCCCTGACATTGGGGACCACTGGGGGCTTCTCACGAGACATGGGGCCTGCCGAGATTGGAGGAGGGGCAGGGGGAGCTCCAGGCTTCCATTCACTTGCTGGGTGACTTTGGAAGCTTGTCTGTGGGCTTCACTTTACTCCTAGGCGGGGAGCTTTCTAAGGGGGGCAGGAAGGTTTGTTCATGAGGGATGTGGCCCTCTCCTAAGGAGGCCAGGCCTTGGGTCCCTGACCAGGAGTCTCCCGAGAGTACCCAGAGGTAGCCAGGCACATGAGGGGGAGGTGTCTGGAAAGGCAGGAGTGAGTTCTCATCGTGGGCAAGGACCTGGGGGCGAGCCACTCTGTCCAGGAGAGAAACAGAGAGAACTTGGAGGAGCTGATGGGCATAGTGGCTGGGCTGAGCTGCACCTAGGCTGACAGCACAGCCTGTGTCTCAAAGCATCTGACGTTAAGGGAGTCTTCCATTGAATTCTATGAATTCTGTTCATAGGAATGAGGCTTAGGAGGGCACAGAAGGGCAGGATGGACAAAGAGCCGTGCCCCCCACCAAGCCCGCACCCAGGTGGACATTTGTGTGTAGAAGGGACGTGTGCCCACAGGGCAAAGAATCTGTGCCGCTTAGAAAGGCTGGTTTGTCTCCAGTCAAATCCACAGGGTTGTCATTCCTGCCCCCACGCCCCCAAGGACCACCAAGGCATGTGTGCGCGCGCGCACACACACACACACACACACACACGGGTTCATTTCCTTTGTCCATTTGACTGGGAGGGGCCAGCAGTGAGCCACAGGTATACAGGGGTGACCAGGGTCCTATTCAACTCATCCTGCAGCCCAGTCTGGGTTTAGGGGTTGCCTGGAAAGCCACCTGATTCTGGTCCACTTCCCATAACGTGGTGCTGGCCATGGTTGTCAGGGGCCGCCTCACCAGGCCTGCTCCACTGGGGATGGGGTCAGAGCAGAACCATCCAAAGGTGGATCTGATGTGGGCCCTGCCAGAGGGGACTTGGCCTCAGTGGGCAGGGTGGGTACAGGGAAATGACTCTGGCCTAAGGCACTGGCCCTGCAGTGACTGACAGGTCCAGGTACCCCACCCCCTTATAATAACTAAGCTCGAAAGACGGACATGAATCCCGAATTATTTAGGGCACAAGTTCACTTTGGAGGCACTTCTATTCCTGAGGCAGAGGGCGAGTCACGAATGTGGGGGCTGCACTCTCCCGCATCTGGGAGTGGGATGTGACTGTTCTGTGCCTTGAACATGACAGATTTCTGACTCCTGGGAGGGAGAGGGCAGCCCTGATGGAAGAGAAAGAAGGGAGGCTCCTCAGGAGGTCAGGCCTGGGCTTCCCAGCTTACAACTGCCTGCGCAGGAAGTGGTCTGGGCTGGGGGCCTTGTCACTCTCCTCACTGGAGAGCAGGGGTGGGAGGTGGCTGCCCTTTGGGGGTTCTCACCAGAACCACAGCGCTGAGTTTACACTGAACGGGAGGGGGCACTGGGACTCAATTCACAGCCATTTCCACCAGGACGCATGGTCCCTCGTGGGAGGCCTGGTCTCGCATTTCCCTGGCAAGGAGAGGGGTTTGCCGATCCCGTGTCCAGAATTACAGCACCCGAGACACGTGTTTAAGACCTGGTGACTGGCCCAGGCTGAGGGCAAAGCCTACCTCTGTGAGAGATGGGTTTTGTTGGGCACATCCTCCATGTGGACAAGGTATCAGGAATGTTCTCAAAGCACCTTAACATTCCATCACACAGTATTCATCATGTGGTATGCATAGGGCAAGATTTTTGACCCATGTGTGCAGATGCTTCAATGTCTTAATCATAGATCAGTTTTCTCTTTGTTCCAACCGGCACCACCTGGGTAACCAGCGCTCCTTACTGTGTGGACTTGAAACAAATAAAATGCATTTCTTCGGATTGTCTAGTGCAGACTTTTCCTTTGAAAGGCAAGGTCTTTGTCCAGTTTGCCTATCTTGGTTTGCCAACCATACCTTCAGCTGGTGCTGAATGGTGAACCAGAGGGATCCTGTCCTCAGGGGCTTAGGATGACCTGAAGGAACAGGGTAGGTAGATTTATTCAAATCATATCTCTCTGTTAAAACCTTCAGTGGGTATTTCCTGCAGGAAAATGACAGCCGCTATTCTGGCTGGAGGGATTTGGGCTGCGCCGGGGGATATTGGCCTGGCAACCTCTCCGGCCAAAAGACTTTGGCTCTCACAAATAGTTTGGTTTTGTTTTTTAACCTGCGTCTTAGAAAAAATGAGGGCGGCATTAGAAGGACGCTTTGCTCTGTCGGAGGCAGCCCTCCCCTGAGTCAGTAGAGGGATGTGGATAAAAGGCAGCAAGGTCCCTGTCGCCTCAGTAGGTCTCTAACTACCGGGTGAGGCCCGTCCTAGCCGGGCAACCTCGGGCAAATTGCTTAACCTCTCTGAACTGGGCAGTGGGGATTAGAGGAGAGAGCTGACGCTCCCGCGAAGCGGGCCGCCCCGGCCAGCCAACAGCTAGGGGACGCTCCTGCGCGACTCTCCCAGCGGCGGGGTGCCGAGAACGCGCGGACCCCCTACCCCCGCCACGCCGGGAGCCGCCGGCTGTGACGCCACGGGCGTTGCCGGGCAACCGCGAACGCCGCGGCGGCGCGCGTGCCCGCGGGCGGCTGGGGCGGCTCCGGGGCTCCGGTCCTGCGGCGGCGCCTGCAGCGCGGATCCCACCCACTACCTCCTCCCCGGGCCGGGCCTCAGGGACGGGCGAGCCCGGGCGCGGGAGGAGGCGGCGGCCCCGGCTCCGGTCCTGCGACCCCCCACCCCGCCGCGCCCCTCCTCTCGGGGCGCCCCCGAGGAGTCGCGGCCCCGGCCCCGCCCCCGCCCCCGCCGCGAGGCCCCGCCCCCCGCGCCCGGCGCTGGCCCCGCCCCCTAATCCCGGCGGTCCCGTGTCCCGGCCGCGCCACCCACGTCGGGCCGCCCCCTGGGGACCCCCGCCGCGGCGCCATGGCCTCGGAGTCGGTGAAGGTGGTGGTGCGCTGCCGCCCCATGAACCAGCGGGAGCGGGAGCTGAACTGCCAGTCTGTGGTGACGGTGGACTCCGCGCGCGGCCAGTGCTTCATCCAGAACCCGGGCGCCGCCGACGAGCCGCCCAAGCAGTTCACCTTCGACGGCGCCTACTACATGGACCACTTCACCGAGCAGATCTACAACGAGATCGCCTACCCGCTGGTGGAGGTGAGGGCGCCCGGGAGGCCGCCGCCTAGGGGGCCTGAAGGGACAGTATTGTCCCCGAGCTGGGCGGGAACGGCCTTCTGGAGGTAGTAGGTGGACACCAGCAGGTTGGGCTGAAGTCTTTTGTCTAGGCAGGAGACAGCTGGAACCCACCTACAACGTCCACGTTCCGGTGTGCACTGTCCGCAAGGCCAAAGCTGGCCCTCGCCCCACCCCTTGCAGCCCCCTGCCCACAAGGACTCCAGCCTCCAAGACTACTTGCCCTCCACCATCATCTGAGAACTTGAGGACTTCTCTAAACGCTCTAGCCACTTCCCCCAGCCGCCACCGCCGCCTCTTCCCAGGCTGTGGCCTCTGCTTTCTCCCCTCAGCGTTCAGAATCCTCTCTCATCCTCCCTCATACAAAGATCTCTGCTTCCCTTCTTCTGCCTTTGTCTGGGAGGAACGGAAACCGTTTAGCTTTGGTCTAGCCCATCATCATCTTCCTCTCAGCGGTTTAGGAACAAAGAGGCAACACCAGTTTGTCACCCTTTATAGGGCTTTTGCTTTCCGGAGCACTCACACCAGGTCACTTGTACATTTCACAGATGGGGAGACTGAGGCCCAGAAGAGGGAAACTTGCCCAAACTCCCATGGTAGGTTTCTAGCAGAGGAGTGGCGGGAGCTACGCCTCATGTCTTCTGGCCAAGGGCTCTTCCTTTCTACCAGCATCTCCCCAACTGTTCAATGAGTCACTAGTTAAGTGAGATGTCACAGGTTGTCCCAGGAAAAAAGGAAAAGTTTGGGAAATGCTGCATACACCCTCCCTCGCATGAAGCTTCACAGGGCACATTAAGATACCTGAGGCTCTGGGGAGTCCTGCAGCAAAGGAACTGATTTGACTTCCTGAACCCAGTGTTTCGAAAATGCACTTTAGAACCTTTGTTGTTTTCGCTAGCAGGCCAATTAACACCCTTCAGAGCACCTCCTGTGGCTGCCCCATCTCTCCTACCAAGGCTCGGTCAAAGCCCTTGAGAGCGTTGAAGTGTTCTGAAGCCCAGAACTCCCCAGCGGTCAGGGCCCGATGGAAGTGATGCCCGGGAGACGAGGACAGCTCTCCCCCAGGTTGTGGTCCCAGACGCTGGGGATGGCCAGGCCGTCCTTCTGCTGTCCGGCACTCCCAGGCTGGAAGGGACCTGAAGGGTTGTGTCTGGTCCCCCCGCCCCCCGCCGCATTGGGTCCTCGAATGTCCACCCAGTGGCAGGAGTTCACTCTTCCCAAAGCAGCCCCTTTCCCCTTTGCTTCTTGGCTCCTAGAAGACCGTTCTGCATGGTGAGCCAGAGTCAGTGTCCCTGAAGCCTTCAGCCACCTGCCCTGGCTCTGTCCCTGAGGCCCAACAGACCTCCTCTGCTCCTTTGTCCAGGATTGGCCCCTTAGAGATTTAAAGATTCCAAGATTGAGTCCTCCTTGGCCTTGCTCATGGGTCCCTGCCTCATCCTGGAAGCAATCCCCTGAGCACGCTTCCCTCATCAGGGTCCTCAGGAAACCCCAGCCCAGGGTGGGAGACATTAAGGACACAGAGGCTCTGTCACGTCTCCCCTCTGGCTCTCCCTCCTGCCCTGAGGTCCCCCACTACTTGGGATTCTCTGCCAGACACCTGCCTCCCTCTGGACATCCCCCAGAGCCTCACACTCAACATGACAGCAGCTCATTTTCATTCATTCATCCATTCAGCTAGCAAGTAGCAGCTCCACACCAAGCCCGTCCTCGGCTTGGGGAGCACAGCCCTGAAGGAATCATAGGCTCTGCCCTCCAGGAGCTCATGGTCAGGGGGAGGAGCAGCTAAGCTAATAGCTACAATCTAAGGTGATGAAGAGGAGGAAAAGCCTGGGGCACGTTGGCAGCCAGAGAACCTGGGCTTGGAGGGCATGGGAAGGGAGGGGAAGGCTGGGAGGGCTTCCTGAAAGTGGTGAGGTTTAAGTTGAGACCTCAAGAATGAGAGGGGTAGGCCAGGTAAGAAGGTGGAGGAACGGGCCTTCCAGGTGGAGGCCTGCATTTTACTCTGTGGTCGTGTATAGAGCTGGAGTCCTCATCCCTGGTGGGGAAACTGAGGTCAGGGGTACCACAGAATGAGTTGGGGTGGTTTTGATACCCAGCACAGTGCCCGGTCCCCTGCTCCATCCTGCTGCCTCCCATTAAATGAGCAGCATGCAAAGCACAGCTCGGGCGGCCCTGAGCCAGGAGCAGCCGCACCGTTAGGGCCGGAGGGCCGTGTGTCTGCCCTGCGGGGCTCTGAGCCCGCTTCCAGGGTCTCCCAGGGCTTCTGCCACCTCCACAGGGCCTCCCATCCAGGCCCTTGCCTTTGGGTCCCTATTGCACAAAGCCCCCCGCACTTCTGACCGCCCCTTCTTGCCCTTTTCTTTCCTGCTTCTCCAGCCCTCAAATCCAGTCCCTATTCCTGATCTTCTCCGACCCTGGCTGATCTCTTTGGCTTTCCTGAGTGCTGCCCACCTCAGACCCACCCTTCTGCCCACTCAGCACATTCTCACAGGAGCTCCTCAGCTCCGCACCTGGCCCGCCGCCTGGTCCACGGGCTCTTTCCCAGCCGGCGACTTTGCCATCTGCCCCTTCTCCCGGCTTCACACCCATGGCCTTAGATTTGCCCCTGATGAGCCACCCCCAGCCCACGCACGGGCCAGGTACCATGGCTTCTACCATGCCCAGACGTCAATGCAGCAGAAGCCATAGGTTTCGGTCCCTGGGTGGGACATTCAGCGGTTTGCTTGGGAAGGGGCAGAAGGGGGACATGAGGCAATTTAAGACAGATGCTCTTAAAAATTTTTTTTTAAGGTTTATTGATTTCAGAGAGAGAGAGAGAGAAAGCGCAAGCAGGGGGAGGGGCAGAGGGAGAGAAGCAGACTCCCTACTGAGCACAGAACCCGATGTGGGGCTCAATCCTAAGACCCAGAGATGAGGACCTGAGCTGAAATCAGGAATTGGACACTTGACCAACAGAGCCACCCAGGCACCCCGGGACAGATGCTTTTTATTTCAGTTGCAATAGTTATGTGTTTAATGTAAAGTAGGAGAAATACTTAGCACATCCAATCTGTAATGCAGTTTCATGGGAATCACAGCTGAGGATGACAGCAAGTTAAAGAGTCCGTTAGCAGTTGATTTCCTGAAAGTCTGCTGGTTAGTACTAGAGCAGGGAGACGTGCAGAACCTGGGGTGGAGGTACAGAGTGGCCCACATTTAGGACCCATTCCACGGGCAAGCTCGTCCCTTGAAGATCTGGAGGCATCACTTGATGGGTGAGACCTTTTTGAAATCTTATGTTTTGCCTTAAAAATGCACATAAAATTGTTTTCTGCTTCACTCCAGAACAATGCTGTTCTGTAGAACTTTCTGCAGTGGTGGAAATGTTCTGTATCTAGGCTGCCACTGGCCATCAGTGGCAGGTGAGCACTTGAACTGAGGCTAGTGCTACTGAAGGACTGAATTTTAATTTTGTTTAAAATCAAGTTAAATTGGGGCGCCTGGGTGGCTCGGTTGGGCGTCTGCCTTCAGCTCAGGTCATGATCCTGGGGTCCTGGGATCGAGCCCCACGTCCGGCTCCCTGCTCAGCGGGAAGCCTGCTTCTCCCTCTCCCACTCCCCCTGCTTGTGTTCCCTCTCTCACTGTGTCTCTGTCAAATAAATAAATCTTTAAAAACAAATAAAATAAAATCAAGTTAAATTTGAATAACTACATGTGGCTAGTGGCCGCCACACTGAACAGCACAGCTCTGGAGCGATGATTTCCAATACAAATGTAATGTGAGCCACATACTTAATTTAAATGTTCTAGTAACCACATTTATTTTATTAAGATATTTGTTGTTTTATATAATATGATTTGTGATAGGTGTGACTTTAATTTTTAACTTAATTTTTAAAAATTTTTTATTTTTTAGAGAGAGCGTAAGCAGGGGTGAAGGGCAGTGGGAGAGGGAGAGAGAGAATCTTAAGCAGCCTCCACGCCCAGCATGGGGGCCCCACAGGGGGCTCGATCTCACAACCCTGAGATCCTGACCTGAGCCTAAACCGAGAGTCAGACGCTCAACCTACTGAGCACTTTAGAAAGGGAAAGGAAATAAAGGGAAATTAGCTTTAATAATAGATTCTATTTAACCCAGTATATCCAAAATATTATTTCAAGAAAACATACTAATAAATGTCATTGTATAGTAACAGTGAGATATTTTCCATTCTTCATGCGAAGTCTTTGAAATCAGCTATGTGTTTTACATTGTAGCATGTCTCCATGCAGATGCTAAAGTGTCAACAGTTAAAATGAAATGAAACAAAAAATAAAGTGATGTTTAATGAAAGAACATTTTATACTGCTTCACTTAAGTGTAAATGCACTAAAATCAGATCAAATAAATTCAGTTTCTCAGTCTCACCGGGCCCATGTCTAGTATGGCTGGTGGTTACCCTACCCGACAGTGAAGCAGTCTCTATTTTTGTGTAGAATACCTTCTCCGGGTTTGGGTGACACTGATACTCTGGGCCCTGCGTCATGTTGATCACCGGGACTGCAGGTGTCCCCGGCTCTGAGGAGCCCAGCAGGGGATCGGGCTGCCCTTGCCTCCCCCCAACCCCCGCAGGGGGCCGTCCCTGTGTGCAGCCCCCCACCCTCTGATAAGGTGCAGGAACCCACACAGTGGTCAGGGCTTCCTTGGACAAAGGAGAGGTGCTCGTCCAGTTCTGCTCATAAAAATGAGGCCTAGTCCTCAGAGAAGCTGTGAATTGTGACTTCGAGCCTCCTTCAGCAGCGGTCCCTGGGGATCCCGAGCCCCACGGTGGTCCACAGGATGGGTCTTTGCAGTGTAGCTGGGCGTGGATGCCAGGTGGGCCCTCGGGGCCTGGGAGCAGCTCTCCTGTGCTGACACAGGCTTCCCCCTCCCCCATGCTGAGTTCTAGAATCAGTGAGCTCATGAGCTCTGCAAGGGCAGGGACTGGGGTCGCGCCTTGTTCATCCTTGTGCCCCGCCTGGAGCGTGGTGCCCACGCCTATGGAAAGAATCAATGTGGGCGCCTGGGTGGCTCAGTCGGTTAAGCGACTGCCTTCGGCTCGACGTGCCTTCGGCATGATCCTGGAGTCCTGGGATCGAGTCCCGCATCGGGCTCCCCGCTCGGCGGGGAGTCTGCTTCTCCCTCCGACCCTCCCCCCTCTCATGTGCTCTCTCTCTCTCTCTCATTCTCGCTCTCTCAAATAAATAAATAAAAATCTTTAATAAAAA